TTACTAATCAAGTTCACCCACAGAAATAAAAATATCAAGAATTTATTTTAACAAGCTGGCCAATACATAATATATTTAAAGTTATAAAACCTGAATATTCCAGACCAAAGGTACTAAACATGTAATAACAGTACAGATACACACACTGGAAGAGTTTAAATTTTTTCAAATTCTTTAAGTTTTTTTTTTTTGTTTTTTTTTTTTTTTTTTGAGGCGGAGTCTCGCTCTGTCGCCCAGGCTGGAGTGCAGTGGCCGGATCTCGGCTCACTGCAAGCTCCGCCTCCCGGATTTACGCCATTCTCCTGCCTCAGCCTGCTGAGTAGCTGGGACTACAGGCGCCCGCCACCTCGCCCGGCTAGTTTTTTGTATTTTTTAGTAGAGACGGGGTTTCACTGTGTTAGCCAGGATGGTCTCAATCTCCTGACCTCGTGATCCGCCCATCTCGGCCTCCCAAAGTGCTGGGATTACAGGCTTGAGCCACCGCACCCGGCCAAGTTATTATAATAATAAGCATTAAAAACAGAAAAAAATCAACACGTAAACTGTAAATACAATTTTTTATATTGCAAAAGGAAGCCAAGTTCTCTTTATTTATTTATTTATTTTTTGAGCCAGAGTCTTGCTCTGTCGCCCAGGCTGGAGTGCAGTGGCATGATCTCTGCTCACTGCAAGCTCCGCCTCCTGGGTTCAGGCCATTCTCCTGCCTCAGCCTCCCCGGAGTAGCTGGGACTACAGGCACCCGCCATGACGCCCAGCTAAATTTTTTGAATTTTTTTTTTTTTTTTTTAGTAGAGATGGGGTTTCACCATGTTAGTCAGGACGGTCTCGATCTCCTGACCTCGTGATCTGCCCACCTCGGCCTCCCAAAGTGCTGGGATTACAGGAATGAGCCACCGCGCCCGGCCCCAAGTTCTCTTAATTAAAAAAAAAAAAAAAAAAACCCACGAAAATTATTTTAGTGAACATCTGTTGTTTTTGCCTATCCAGCAACCAATCTCTCTTCTCCAGAAAGTATCACCTCAATTTTTCTTTAGGATCTGTCACCCACCCTTAATTCAAATGGTTTCAAACTTATATCCCTCTCCTTCCCACTCCAGGATAGGGACAAATTCCAAGCCTAGCCACACAAAGCATTCCATCACTCTGGCCACAGGGACTGCCTCTCTAAGATGGGCAAAGACCCAAGTCAGGTCAATGAAACTACCATACAGTGGTGTGCTGGAACTGCAGAGAAAGGGAAGTTCTCTTTCTTCTTGGGTTTCTGAGGTTGAAGGAAGTAAGCCTAGTGCTGGTATTACAATCTTTCCCAGGGAATCAGACTCCAGAACCTTAATTACTTTTCCACACTGAATCCCAAATATGCAAAGGGAACTAGGGGTTACCTGGTAGTAAGAGAAAAGATAAATTAGGACTTTGACTTTCAATATTGTATTTTCCATAATGTTTCCATTTTTCAAAAATAAGCATATTACTTTTATAATAGGAAATTTAAAACATTTAAAAATATTGTCCATGTTTTCTTCTCAAATATGCTCAGATATTCATATTTCAATATCTTAAAAGTATTAACAATTTTCTCATAACTTACCAAAGCACATAGAATATCTATCTAAAAACAATCACCTTCTTCTTCTGGCACAAAATAAAGCTATTACAATATTTTCATTTTTAAATTATGAGTGGGAGGCCAGGTACAGTGGCTCACACCTCTAACCCCAGCACTTGGCAAGGCTGAGGCAGGCGGATCACTTGAGTTCATGGGTTCGAGATCAGCCTAGCCAGCATAGTAAAACCCCATCTACTAAAAATACAAAACTGAACCAGGTGTGGTGGTGCACTCCTGTAATCCCAGCTACTCGGGAGGCTGAGGCAGGAGAATCGCTTGAACCCAGGAGGCAGAGGTTGCAGTGAGCCAAAATCACACCACTGCATTGTAGCCTGGGCAACAAGAGTGAAACTCTGTCAAAAAGACAAGAAAGGGCCAGGCGCGGTGGCTCAAGCCTGTAATCCCAGTACTTTGGGAGGCCGAGACGGGAGGATCACGAGGTCAGGAGATCGAGACCATCCTGGCTAACACGGTGAAACCCCGTCTCTACTAAAAAAAATACAAAAAAACTAGCCGGGCGAGGTGGCAGGCGCCTGTAGTCCCAGTTACTCGGGAGGCTGAGGCAGGAGAATGGCGTAAACCTGGGAGACGGAGCTTGCAGTGAGCTGAGATCCGGCCACTGCACTCCAGCCTGGGCAACAGAGAGAGACTCCGTCTCAAAAAAAAGAAAAGACAAGAAAGACAGAGCGAGACTCCATCTCAAAAAAAAAAGACAAGAAAAGAAAAGGGAAGGGGAGGGGAGGAAGGGAGAAAAAGAAAAGAAAGAAAAGAAAAGGAAAAAAGAAAAGAAAAGGAAAATATGAGTGGAAAAAACAGTTTGAGTAAACCTTTTTTTAAAAAACTGGTTCTCGTGGCTAGGCATAGTGGCTTGTACGTATAATCCCAGCACTTTGCAAGGCCAAGGCGGGAGGATCACTTGAGTCTGGGAGTCCAAGACTAGCCTGGGCAGGCCAGGTGTGGTGGCTCAGGCCTGTAATCCCAGCAGTTTGGGAGGCCGAGGCAGGTGGATCACCTGAGGTCAGGAGTTCGAGACTAGCCTGGCCATCATGTAAAACTCCATCTCTACTAAAAATACAAAAAATTAGCCAAATGTGGTGCCTCGCCTGCAGTCCCAGCTACTTGGGAGGCTGAGGCAGGAGAATTGCTTGAACCCGGGAGGTGGAGGCTGCAGTGAGCCGAGATCACACCACTGCACTCCAGCCTGGGCAACAGTGTGAGACTTCTTTCCCACTCCCCAACAAAAGGACCAGCCTTGGCAAAATGGCTGAACCCCATCTCTATTTAATTAATTAGTTAATTAATTAAAAACTGGTTATCATTTTAAAAGGGATACATTTAACAATTGTATATGGAAAAAATGGTTAATGTTCAGCACGTGCTGCAGCCATTGTAAAAATGGCTCAAGAGATAAAGCTAACTTTAAAGATTGAAAGTGGCAAAATTGGGTTTAAAAAAGCTTTATCAATTATATTAGTCCTATAACTCTGAATAGCATAAGATCTGAAGGAGTTGGTCAGTTAAATATTTCAATTATAATTATTTTGCATAATACTGCATTATGGAGAAATTTCATATCGTTTTATTCTTTTGTTGTTGCTGTTTTGAGAGACGGTATCGCTCTGTTGCCCAAGCTGGAGTACAATGGTACGATCACTGCTCACTGCAGCCTCAACCTCGAGGACTCAAGTCATCCTCCTGTCTCAGCCTCCCAAGTAGCCAGGACTACAGTGCACCCAGCTAATTTTTTTGTAGAGATGGTCTTGCCATGTTGCCCAGGCTAGTCTCAAACTCCTGGATTCAAGGGATCCACGTGGCCTCCCAAAGTCCTGGGATTATGGGCTTGAGACACCACACCCAGCCTGTTTTATTCTTAAATACAGGAAAGTTAGTCTGGAGATTCACTTCTTAGGAATGTAAACAATCTACTGAATATAGTAAATATAAAGGAAGACAGCAATAAACACTTTTGTTCTCTTCCATTTATTAGCTTTTATTAGTTTCTATCATTCTTTCCCTTTCTCCCCAGGCACACAAGCCACTCCAGAATATTCACTTTTTGTTAATATTATGTTTTACCACTCTCAGTAAGGACACTTAGAAGATGTCAGGGACACTTGCTTGATACATTAGGTAGCCAGAGTGATGCTCTTAAGTAGAAGAGACAATCAGAGACATACCAACGGTGGGGACAAAGAGTAGCTGGAGTAAAGCCACCTTCTTACAGAAAAGTGGCAATGGGTTCTAAAGTTTTTAGGATAAGGCAACATTCAAAAAGCTCCTTACCTTGTCCACACCAGAAACACAGTAGGTGGGTCATTCTGGCCAACACCTTTGTCTCAAGATGCTGACGTTTATTATTGTCATATGGTCCAATGAAACCTAAACTCTCCTACAGCTATCAACACCGAACTTGTTTCACCTAATGAAATGCAAACTCCTTTCTTAATACTGCTAGATCACTTCCCCACATGCCCAAAAGGGATGTTTTAATATAAACAAAGGCATATCAAAAAAGCCACCCAAACAAGTGCGACAGAAACATTTACTGATAAATAGGAAGAAAATTGGCGTTTCTAAGGTACCACAGGGAGAATAAAATATTTTACTCTAGTCCCTTAGCTATAAGATATTTATTCTATTTATATTTACTAATGGCCACTGTATTTTTTAAGGCATGGTAAAGGGAAGGTAAAGAAACCATCAACCATAAGATTACAGAGAAGTCAACTTAAAGAACAGTTTGTTTTCAACTCTTCTCCTAACATTCACATAGAGTCAATAAAATCTAGCTCTTTCTCAAAACAGCCTATGGCCGGCCAGAATGGGGCGGTGAAAAGAAAACAGGGAGAACGTAATGAAAATGGGAAGGCGCTGGAAAAAGATAAAAACTGAACAGTCCGAGTAACCTGCACTTTGCATTGCTCCTTTGAGTCCTCACTGATTTTCCACTTACTTCGATTCAGTGGTTAATATTTCTCCGTATTAGAAATCCATCTGTGAACTCCCGCACCCACTTCCAACCACATTCACAAATTCCAAGAGAGCCGGTCAAGGCTACTAGAGTGTCCCACTCGCCCGTGAGGAGGGGGGCGTCGGCGCCAAGTTGGGAAGCCGGCACTGGGAGAAGTTATCCCGGGACGGGAGAAGGGACGGGTTGGGGTGAAGAAAAGTGGAGGACGGGAGGCAAGCATGACTACGGACTCCTCTCAGCACCAAAACTGAGCGCATCAGGGAGAGACAGGTATCCCGCCAGACCCGAGAAGTAGCCGGATGCCCGGGACGGACAAACGGCCAGCCTCGGAGCCCAGTTCCCTAAGGCTGTCTCGCCAACCCCCTTCCCCTTCGCCTTCCCTAAATTGCTGTCTCCTCATACCCTCCAGAGTCCGAGACTCACGCGTCCAAGCACGAGCTCCAGCAGCTCCTCGGTCAAAGCCGCCCACCTCTGACAGCCATAGAGATGAAACAGCGGAGACAAACCTCCACCTTCTCCGCCCACCCTCACGTGACTCTCCTAGCCGCTGGGCCTGTCGGGATCTTGGCGACAGGCGTGTGGGAGGGGCACCGACGAAAAGGAATGGGGAGGGGCGGGGAAATCAACGCACCACGCCCCAGCCTCGGACCCCGCCCTAGCCCGGTCACTCCGCCTTACCCGGCTCGCGTTTAGGCGGGAAAGCTGGAGATCTCCCAGAAGTTGTCGGGCATTTCTTCTGGTTTTTTTCCTCTCCACAAGGGTCATAGGAATCTGTTGAGAAATTTATTGTGGCTCATGACACCTCCTCGGTACCCGTTTTCGTGTTGGCTAAGCAAAAAGGAGTTCGTGAAAAGAAAACTGGACCACAGTGAGTTGGAAATTGTTTCTTTCCAACTCCGTTTCGTTTTATCAGAGATAAAATTTTATCAGAGTTAAATGTTCCTGTTTCATAACCTTGAGCCTTTTTTGGATTTAGAAACCCTCACCACTTCCTCCACTGGATGGGTTTTTCAGGTGTTTTATTTGCAGACTAATATTACTGCAGAGTTTATAGTCTCTAAGCCACTAAAAAAACATGTTTTCCCTTGAAGAAGGTTTTTGTTTTTGTTTTTGAGATAGAGTTTCACTTTTGATGCCCAGGCTGGAGTGCAATGGAGCGATCTCGGCTCACCGCAGCCTCCGCCTCCCGGGTTCAAGTGATTCTCCTGCCTCAGCCTGCTGAGTAGCTGGGATTACAGGCTTGCGCCACCACGCCCAGCTAATTTGTATTTTTAGTAGAGACGGGGTTTCTCCATGTTGGTCAGGGTGGTCTCGAACGCCCGACCTCAGGTGATCCGCCCACCTCAGCCTCCCAAAGTGCGAGGATTACAGGCGTGAGCCACTGCGCCCGGCTGAAGAAGGTGTTTTTATCAGAAAAATGGGATGGGAAAGGATTCTCGCCCCTTCTGTGGAAATAGAATGGAAATAGGACTATAATACCAGAGAGTGTGTTTTTTTGGGGGGGAGGGGGTAGGGGGTTGATTGGTTGGTTGTTCGTTTGTTTTGAGACGGAGTCTTGCACTGTGGCCCAGGCTGGAGTGCAGTGATGCGATCTCAGCTCACTGCAACCTCCTCCTCCCAAGTTCAAGTGATTCTTCTGCCTCAGCCTCCCGAGTAGCTGGGATTACAGGCGCGCCTCGCCACGCCCGGCTAATTTTTGTATTTTTAGTAGAGACGGGGTTTCACCATATTGGCCAGGCTGGTCTTGAACTCCTGACCTCAGGCGATCCTTGCGTCTCGGCTTCCCAAAGTGCTGGGATTACCAGTGTGAGCCCACCACGCCAGTCCCAGAGAACTTTCAAACAGTATTTTTTTTTCCCAAGAATTAACGTAGCAGAGCTGTGGAAAAGGCAATTTATAGAAACAAAGCCAACAAAACCATCCCTGGGGTAAATTGTGAAGTAAGCAGTATCAACTCTATTCTCCATTTCTTCTCAGACCCAACTAACCAAAGTACAATAAATGATTGTGTTCATGGCGCTGTGCTGGAGCTTTACATACAACCCAGTGTTTGTCTACAACCACTCTAGGATGGATACTGTTTTATTCATTTGCAGGTAGGGAACCCAGCTGACACCCCTAGGTAATGCAGTACATGCAGTAGCAGGACATAGACCTGACCTGAGGGCCTGTGAGGCTTCCACTCTTATTTTATTTTTATTTTTTTTTTTTTGAGACGGAGTCTCGCTCTGTCGCCCAGGCTGGAGTGCAGTGGCCGGATCTCAGCTCACTGCAAGCTCCGCCTCCCGGGTTTACGCCATTCTCCTGCCTCAGCCTCCCGAGTAGCTGGGACTACAGGCGCCCGCCACCTCGCCCGGCTAGTTTTTTTGTATTTTTAGTAGAGACGGGGTTTCACCATGTTAGCCAGGATGGTCTCGATCTCCTGACCTTGTGATCCGCCCGTCTCGGCCTCCCAAAGTGCTGGGATTACAGGCTTGAGCCACCGCGGAGGCTTCCACTCTTAAATGATGTAATTCAGGCCCGGCGCGGGGGCTCTCGCCTGTAATCCCAGCACTTTGGAAGGCGGAGGCGGATGGATCACGAGGTCACGAGATCGAGACCATCCTGGCTGACACGGTGAAACCCTGTCTCTACTAAAAATATAAAAAATAAGCCGGGTGTGGTGGCGGGCGCCTGCAGTCCTAGCTACTCAGGAGACTGAGGCAGGAGACTCGCTTGAACCCAGGAGACCGAGGTTGCAGTGAGCCAAGATCGTACCACTGCACTCCAGCCTGGGTGACAGAGCAAGATTCTGTCTCAAAAAAAAAAAAAAAAAAAAAAAATGTGCTTTAGTCCATTGTCCTCTGACCTGCCTTGCCACAGGAGTTAGGAATTATTGCTAATTTGCTTGCCAAGCTATCAAAATGTACCTTTTCTGTCGTGTCTCTTCCCATTTAGACACTGTTCTCTGTTAAGTGAGAAATCTGATAAAGAAATTATTCCCCCCGCCCCCCGTTTTTTTGTTTTATGTTTTTTGTTTTTTTGAAACGAGGTCTCTGTCACCCGGGCTGGAGTGCAGGTGGAGTGATCTCAGCTCACTGCAGCCTCTGCCTCCTGGGTTCAAGCGATTCTCCCACCTCAGCCTCCTGGCACTACAGGTGGGCACTACCATGCCTGGCTAATTTTTAAATTTTTGTAGAGATAGGGTCTTGCTGTATTGCCCAGGTTGTTCGCAATTTTCCCACCTTAGGCTCCCAAAGTGCTGAGATTACAGGTGTGAGCTACTGCGCCCAGTCTTCCTTAAATATTAATAGGAACTTAGCTTGATATCCTTCTCAAGCATCATATCCATTATCTCTGATGATGAGAATTTCAAGTTGTGTCATAAATTACTATGGATACTTTGGAGGTTCATACTATAGAGCTTGAATAGCAGCTAAGTCAACTGTTTCTCAGAACAAGGAAAAAGGAAAGTTAAATCATCCATACACATTAAACAAAAATCAATTTTTAAGAATTGCTGGTGGGGCACAGTGGCTCATGCCTATAATCCCAGCACTTTGGTAGGCTGAGGCAGGCAGATCACCTGAGGTCGGGAGTTCGAGACCAGCCTGACCCACATGGGGAAACCCCATCTCCACTAAAAATACAAAATTAACCATGCATGATGGTGCATGCCTGTAATTCCAGCTACTCGGGAGGCTGAGACAGAAGAATCGCTTGAACCCGGGAGGCAGAGGTTGCGGTGAGCTGAAATCATGCCATTGCACTCCAGCCTGGGCAACAAGAGCGAAACTCCATATCAAAAAAAAAAAAAATTGCTGAAATTCAGGCCAGGTGCTGTGGCTCACACCTATAATCGCAGCACTTTGGGAGGCCAAGGCAGGTGAATCACCTGAGGTCAGGAGTTCAAGACCAACCTGGCCAACATGGTGAAACCCCGTTTCTACTAAAAATACAAAAATTAGCCGGGCATGGTGGCACATCCCTGTAATCCCAGGACTGAGGCAGCAGGATCGCTTTGCTTGAAACTGGGAGGCAGAGGTTGCAGTGAGCCAAGATTGTGCCACTGCACTCCAGCTTGGGCAAACAGAGCGAGACTCCATCTCAAAAAAAAAAAAAAAAAAAAGGGCTGGGCGTGGTGGCTCATGCCTGTAATCCCAGCACTTTGGGAGGCCGAGGCAGGCAGATCACGAGGTCAGGAGATCGAGACCGTCCTGGCTAATACAGTGAAACCCTGTCTCTACTAAACAAAATACAAAAAATTAGCCAGGCGTGGTGGTGGGCCCCTGTAGTCCCAGCTACTCGGGAGACTGAGGCAGGAGAATGGCGTGAACCCGGGAGGCGTAGCTTGCAGTGAGCTGAGATGGCGCCACTGCACTCCAGCCTGGGCGACAGAGCGAAACTCCGTCTCAAAAAAAAAAAAAAGATTTGCTGAAATTCAATTCTAATTTTAGGCAACATTTGTCTATATAAAACTAATCAGTCAAACTATTAAATAACATTTAAAAACATAAATCAATATTTCTCAAACTTTTTGGTCTTAGGACCCCTATACACTTAAAAATTATTGAGGACTCAAAACAACTTTTATTTATGTGTGTTATACCTATCGATATTTACCATATTCAGCCAGGCAGAGGCTAATACCTATAATCTCAGCACTTTGAGAGGCTGAGATGGGAGGATCACATGAGGCCAGGACTTTGAGGCTACAGTGAGCTATGATCATGCCACTGCACTCCAGCCTGCACAACAGAGCAAGAACCTGTCTCTATAAACTTTTTTTAATTTAGCATATGAGGAATTAAAATTGAGGCTGGGCACAGTGGCTCACGCCTGTAATCCCAGCACTTTGGGAGGGTGAGGCGGATAGATCACCTGAGGTCATGAGTTCGAGACTATCTTGGCAAATATGGTGAAACCCTGTCTCTACTAAAAATACAAAAATTAGCTGGGCATGGTGGCGCAAGCCTGTAATCCCAGCTACTCAAGGAGGCTGAGGCAGAAGAATCGCCTGAATCTGGGAGACAGAGGTTGCAGTGAACCAGGATCGCACCACTGCAGTCCAGCCTGGGCCTAAGTGACAGAGCAAGACTCGGTCTCAAAAAAAAAAAAAGAAAAGAAAGAAAATTAAAATTGAAATTATTTTAATATGTACTTAGTCATTTAAAAATAATAGCTCCATTATATGTTGACATAAATATATTCTTAAGAAAATGGCGTAAACCCGGGAGGCTGAGCTTGCAGTGAGCTGAGATCCGGCCACTGCACTCCAGGCGATAGAGCGAGACTCCGTCTCAAAAAAAAAAAAAAAAAAAAAGAAAAACAACTTCAAAAAAATGGAGTAGCATGGTTTTACATTATTGCAAATTTCCCTCTTTTTTTTTTTTTTGAGACAGAGTCTCACTTTGTCGCCCAGGCTGGACTACAGTGGCACGATCTTGGCTCACTGCAACCTCTGCTTCCTGGGTTCAAGCAATTCTCCTGCCTCGGCCTCCTGAGTAGCTGGGATTACAGGCACGTGCCACTACGCTCGGCTAATTTTTTTGTATTTTTAGTAGAAACGGGGTTTCACCATATTGATCAGGCTGGTCTTGAACCCCTGACCTTGTGATCCGTCCACCTCTGCCTCCCAAAGTGCTGGGATTACAGGCATGAGCCACTGTGCCTGGCTGCAAATTGCTTTAATGTCTGGCTTAACAGAAGACAGATTCTCGTATCTTTTCTGCATTAAATATTTGCACTCTTACACATTATGTCGCCCCTGGCAAACACTACTATATGCTTAACAAAGAATTAGAGTGATAAGGCAAATAACAGTGTGTTAGTGAGAAAACAGTCTTGACCTTACAGATTACTAGAAAGGGTTTCAGGAAACCCCCAGTAGTCTTCGACCACACTTTGAGAACCACTGTTTTAAACCGTACAAATGTTTCCTGATTTTGGGGCTGTGTGGTGGGTTCCAGGCCAAGCCCCAGGTCTCACTCCATCCAGCCCCCTCTAAAAGGGAGGAGGCCATTCCCTTCCTCACCATCTGGTCCAACAAAGCTATAGAAAGTGAGAGAGGGAGAAGCTGGAGACCAAAGGGGTGATACATGGGCAAAGAAGGCAGAAAGTGGGGACCTCACGGCCAGCCCTCCCAGCCCAGTCGATATGGAGGGGATCCTGGCAGGCCTGCCTGTTCCCCAAGGACAAACCTTTTGTGGCACAAGCCTCAACTCACTTGTCCTGGCTGGGATTCATACCCTTATGCACGAGTCTCTGCCCTTAGTTCCAATCTTACTGTAAGGATTGAGGTAGTTAATCCATTTATACTCGTAGCGTCCATTACCTGCAGTTAATCAAAACACATGCTCCTGAGGAGCTTCCTGCTATTTCATTCAAGAAAAAAATTTTTTTTTCTTTTGTCCATCCGAAGTCAACCATACTAAGGCACCAGCAAAGGCGTCATCAGACTGTGCCCCAAAGTGGTGTACGGGACCAAGGGTCAGGGTTGGGGCTCTCACCCCTAAATCCCCCTTCAGACATGAGGCCTCCTCCCTGTCCCAGACCCGGATAGAGAAGCCTTATGTATCCAAAGGAAAGAAACTGAAGTTTTCAGCTGGTGTTACTCTAAGTCTGAATACAGAGAAATGTTCTGCATCTAAATTATTGAGTATTTGGAAGGGAAATGGTTTTTATGTCCCCTGGCATTGATGAGGATTTGTCTTCAATTTTCCTGCAATTACTGTGACAGGCTGTACTGTTTCCCTTCTATTGGTTTTCAAGAAACAGGCAAACAGTCGAGTGGTTTGAATGGCAAAGCCACTAGGATCTCCCCATAAACACTTCAGGGGAAAGAAAGGAGAACCTCCACCCCTGATGAGAGGTGGGAGGAAGGGGTTGCCTAGAGGCACCAGCTTCTCCTGTGGAGCAAGAAGGCTCAAACAGGCCCTCTGGGTCTCTATGAGGTAGTTACTAGCACTGCTGGTTCCCAGTTTGGCAGACAGTATGTCTGGGGTGGGAGGAAGGGAAGGCACCCTTGAGAGTTAA